CCCTAACCCTAATAACCCTAACCCTAACCCTAACCCTAACCCTAACCCTAACCCTAACCCTAACCCTAACCCTAACCCTAACCCTAACCCTAACCCTAACCCTAACCCTAAATAACCCTAACCCTAACCCTAACCCTAAATTTTATAACTAAAAATAAACTTTTAATTAATATAAATAAAGTTCGACTAAATATAGTCGAATAAATAAAATATAATAGATTAAATAAAACTAATATTATAAATATAAATAATAAAAATAATAGAATAAATAGAATAATAATAATAATATAAATTAAATTTAATTAAATAATCTATATATAAATAAACAGAAACGAATAAAATCGAAGTTTTAGAATAAAATTAGAAATTTTAGATAAATTTATATAATAATATATTAATTTCTAAAATTAGTTTAATATTAAAAGAATAATTATATAAACGTGTATATTTAGTTAGTAAATTAGTTTTAATTAAATATAGAAAAGTATATCTTTTTAGAAATCTATTTCTCTTTTCTAATTCTATTCTCTGAATATATCGATTAATTATACTATAGTCTACTAATATATATTATATAATATACATAATATTATATTCTAAATAGTAAGTAGACTAACAATTTCTTTTATTTACTTTTTATTCTAATTTATTTATATAATTGTTTAATTAATTGTTTAATTAATTATTTTATTATTTATTTTTTTATTTATTTTTTCATTTATTTATATTTATATAATCGTTCAATTAATTATTCAATTAATTACTTTATTATTTATATTTTTATATTTATATAATTATTCAATTAATTATTTAATTAATTATTCTATTATTTATTTTTTCTAAAAGAATATTAATTTATAAATTAGTTTTCTTTAGTTAGATAATTATATAATAATAATCTAATACTACGTTTATTGTTCAATTAATATTTATTCTTTTAACTATAGTCTTTTAGTTATTTTATCTACAATTCCTCTTAATAATCCTAAAAGTCTTCTCTGCACCTCGACATTACTTTAGTAGTAATTACAAATAATTTGATATAACTCGCAGCTGCGTGTTTATATTATTACTAGTTTATTATCTGATACTACTGTAGCAGCCACTTGAATGCTTTCACAAGATCTTTATCGTACTGGCGGCTCATCTTTAAATCTCTATAACGCCTGAATCCATGTGGTACCCCGGGATAGACATTCACGTCCGTCTTAACTCTACGAATGTGTTAATGAGAGTTGGCCGCAAATGAATATATAGCAATTCTCAACTCACCCTGCGCGCTTCAGTTTCGCCTCATACAGCAGCGCTTCATCACGAAGCGGGTCACGCCCGGCGACAAGGAAATACGCAGCAGGCAATCCCGCTAGGTCGGCTTCGGGTGCAAGTAAGACGCTATAATACCTCTCTGTGGGGTCCTTCACGTCAAGAAGCTTATTGAAAAAGTCTATTCTTGTCGCCGGGAGAATCGGTGCGTCAATGTTCTCCTCGAAGGATCCTTTGCCCGGGGCAATGAGATCTGCAGGGAAGACGCTCGTATGACAGACATGCGGCAGGTCGAGAATCTGGCCTCGAATGCGGCTCTTCCCATGCTACGTAACTTAGCAAATATACTCGTCAACCATACCCTCACGCTCCGAAGTACTTACTACATCTTTGTCACGAAGAGAAACGCCGGCTGCAAGGTTTGATCCACTAGACCGACCCCCGACGAGAACTTTGTTTTGATCTCCGCTAATTAAATCGATATTATCAAAGACCCAGTTGAGAGCATTGAAGGCATCTTCTCTTTGAGCAGGCCATTTCCATTCGGGGGTGTGCCGGTAGCAGACATTGACCACGATGATGCCCACCTTTTCGACCATCCAGGAGCAGAAGCCATCTTCACTTGACAAAGTACCAAAGCAATAACCTCCACCATGGTAGAAGATAAAGACCGGTAGCTGGACACCACTGGGTATAGATGAGGGCTTATAGACACGAAGAGGAATTGTCTGTTCGTCTGTTGTGGCACAACGGAAGTCCTTTGTGTCTATATCAACTACTGGAACATTAGTAGTGAAATCTGTCTATGGTAATCAGGTAAATACCAGTTATGCTCCTGAGAATTTGTTGTGAGTTTGCCTCTCTTCCTGCGTTGGTGTGCGCGCGAAGCTCTACAGGTGATAGTCCCGGGGGGAGCTGAGGCTGCGGATTCGCCGCCATGTAAGTGTAACGGTTCTGTTATTCTTCCGACGGGGAATCCTAACAGAGGTGTTCTGTTTCGTTTGCGTAGCGAAGTAATGCAGTGATCTCTTCTAATGATC